TTTAGAAAACAATTCACTTCAAGAATGTATTGTTATATTATTCTCGGAATGATTTTATTCGGGAGTTTGTTAGTGACGATGATAGTAGTATCGATTTATTTAAATTGGAAAGCTAATATGAATCATACAACATTACCAGGTATTATTTGTTTTAATTGTCAATTTTTCCCCCTTATGAATAACACCATTTTCTATTTATACTAGTTTTATCAACAACTGTTCGTACAACTGATTCTACTACTTCAACAACATCAATACTGTCAACAGGTTAGTATAATATATGTTCAAATAAATTTTTCATGATATAATAGAATACAATCCTATTTCTCTTTCTATGTAGAACCACCCTGTGTGTTAACATTTGACCAATCAAATTTATTTACATTTAACCTCAATTCTTCTTTTGGGTCAATCGTTACTGATGATTTTAATGGTGATGGTTCTCTCGATCTTGCTCTCGTTGGGTACGAATTGGATAATCTTAATATATTTCTTGGGAATAATAATGGAACTTTTACAGCACCATCTATATATGTTATTGGATCTGATAATGATCCACACTTTGTTACTGCTGGTGACTTTAACAATGATAATCATATAGATCTTGCTGTCGCGAATTTTAAATCTGATACTATAGGAATCTTTTTTGGGTATGGTAATGGAACTTTTCAAACACAACAGATAATTTCAACTGGATTCGTTCATTTACCCTTAAGATTAGTAATTGGTAATTTCAACGATGATCATCATTTAGATATTGTTGTTACTGGTGTGCAATCAGGTATAATGTTTGGTTTGGGTAATGGTTATTTTAGTAGCATAACAGTTCTCCATGATGATGATGGGTTCAATGAGAATTGGATTATTGCTACTAATTTTAATAATGACACACATCTAGATCTTATTGCCAGTTACGGTTCAGATGGCATGGTACGGATATTACTTAACAATGGTTATGGGTATTTTTATTTGTGGATGACTTTAACTTTTGAAAAATCTTCTTATACAAATTCATTTACTATAGCTGATTTAAACAATGACAATCGATTAGATTTGGTTGTTGCTAATGAAAATAAAAATTACATAAGTATTTTCATTCAGAATAATAATGGAACTTTTGGACAACAGACAACGTATCCGACAGGAGTATTTGGTAGTATAGATACGGTTGTTGCCGGTGACTTTAACAATGATGGCCAAGTCGACCTTGCTGCTACTCTTCTTCTTAGAAAACAAGTAAATATTTGGGTGGGTATTGGTAATGGAACATTTTTAGTGCCATCCATGTTTTCAACTGGATCTATTAGTGCACCCACTGCAATGATTACAGGTGATTTTAATAGTGATAGTGCTCTGGATTTTATTGTAATAGATAAATATTCAGCCAATGTACTTATTTCTATCAATACATGTGATTGTTGTATACAAAATATTTCGAAGAAATAATGAATATTAACATGAGAAACTACTCAATTCAATTATATACATTTTTATTCAAGCTTTCGCTTTTGTTCATCGTATTCATTTATGCAGTGTTGGTGGCTTCTTATTTATTTCAAATAAAATTAAACTTCACTTTAATCTTGAAGGTGTGGGTGTGGGTGGGTATGAATGAGGATGAAGGTGTGGATTTGGATGTGTTCCTATTATTTTCTGCAAACCAAACTCACACCTAAATCCACATCTTCACCCTCATTCACACCCTCAAGATATTTGACGGTTCTTTTTTAAATTAGCTTATTTGTGCAGAACAAAAACAACACAACAGGCAATATATTGCGAAAAATGAATCTGTTGACACTCAACAAGAAGCAGCTCACTGGAATTTTTCCTACTAAATGATTCAGTAAGAATAAAAAGAGAAAATAAAAAAATAGAGCGCGGGCTAACAGCGAGTAACAGGAAAAGAACGGAAAAAAATTTGTGATTCTCATTGTTTCTATGGAGATTTGTTAAGATGAGCGGTATAGACTAAGGATACAAGATAATAAAAAATATTTTTTTCTGTTTTCTATCGGCTCATAAACAGTCAACATTTTTCTTTCCATTATTTCATTATGTAAAAAAGTGACGACATATTCAGAAAAAAAAACGAGAAATATTAAATGCAGCCCTTTTTGTACTCATTTATTATGATGAAAGATGTTTTTCCTTTAATTTCAGTCGACTAGAATATTTCTTTTCTTCTACACGTAATATTACTAACCTTTGTGTTATTAGCGTTCGTGTTGATTCATTCGGACAGTAAATGGCGACTAAAGTGTTCGCTGTAGTCTCGGATATCTGTTCGGATCGTAGAAAGTATGTGATCTGAGTTATACGAGGGGCATCTTTTTTCTTTCAATCTATCACATTCAATCAGTGACAACTCCTAATCAACTGCTCTGTATCTATGAAAGCTAACATTTATCTTTTTTGCAAAATTCAATCAAGCACATATATCTTTTTAAATTTCTGATGTATGTAGATAAAATTGGTTTTTCTTTATTTGTTAATTAAATGAAGTCATTTATTTTTCTCTCTTATTTTATTTAATTTTAATTTTATTTAATATTAATAATTAATTAAAAATTCGTGACGTTTCTTCTCTCGATGAGATAGTTCTATAGACATTAAACTTATAAGAAACTCTTTAACATATACAACTATAATAGCTTCTTTTGTCTATTTCCTTTCGTCATTAGTCTTTGATATTGATGCGGAAAACAAGACGGTAATAGTAATAGCAAGATACGGATATAATCCTTTTCCGTAGCACTATCGACGACGAATGACGAAAGGAAAGAGAGGAAAAAAAACTATTTTAGTTGTATATGTTAAAGAGTTTGTCATAAATTTAATGTCTGAAGAGGTATCTCGTCGAGATACAATACGTCACGAATTTTAATTAATTATTTATATCGATTTAACTTTCTTATCAAGACAAGAATAGTAGTTCTTTGTTCAGATGGTTTAATAATACACTAATTCGTGTAACACATGATATATTATGTCTGCAATATAGAACACTTTAGTATAAAAGTTTTTTTTTCGCCTCTATTTCTAATAGCGTTAGCCGTTTTATCCTACATAACTAAGAAGTAAATAATAAGTGTCAAATTTTCGTCTACCATTATATAGATAATTGTTTGTTATGTCTCTGTTAGCGATGACTCAAGTCATCACTCTTTCTATGCATGTTTTATTAAAAATGTGATACGTAATCACATTTTTCCCCTTCCATCTCTTTTTCTTTTTGAGTCAAAAATGTAAACATATATTACATTTTTTCCTTTTTCTTTTCTTTTTCTTCTGAGTCAAAAATGTAATCTTATATTACATTTTTTCCTTCTTTTTCTTTTTGGTATATACACCATTCATTTTCTTTGATAAGGATACGTGTTCCTTGTATTAAATAAAATCTATGAGATATACTCATATACAATTTTATTTATTCTCTCGTAGCCCTACAGACAGGCTAACAGTCTCAATCAGAGTAATAGTTCTATCCTTTTTTTCCATGTTTATATAACAAAATTACTATTTTGCTGCTAGCAACTTAACACAAGCGTAGCTTTTATCAATTTTATTAGATGAAATACATGTTTTCGAGTAGAGAATATTCTTATTTCTTCGTTTAGTCGAGTTTTTAGAAAATATGATTTTAATTTTTTTATATAGTCTAGATCGAGATAACGATTATAATCTTTTGTCACTGAGTTGTCAAAAACATTCTACTTTTTATATTCGCTTGAGATATATAAACAGATCCTCTTTATTGTTTAATTAGCACATAGAAAAAGGTTTCAATAAAGGAATACAAACGTCTTTTTCTGCTAGGTGAACCTGTTTTAGGTATAAGATAGGTTTGATATACTCGTTTACGACATGGGAGATCTTCTAAATCGTCCAGATAGTTATATAAAAGGGTTTATGAAAGTGCATTGTATAATAAATCATTTACGGATCTTTTATTCTAAACATTTTTTACAATGAATCATTAATCAATAAATCCCGTATAATGGTTACAACTCCAGAAGAATAATCTATTCTTAATATAACCTACTTATTCAGGAGTATTTCATCTTCAACACAAAGTTGCATCTCAAGATGCTCTATATAGCTGTTACTAAGAGTATCTCTGGATAGCCCTTCGAAAGTTCTTATTGCTACTCATCGATATCTTTTTATATGAGACAAAAATCATTTTTTTTCTAGATTTGTTTTATGACTATAACACAATCAATGTTATTTATGAAACTTCCAAATGAAATTATTTATCACATCTTTGATTTTTTAAAATCATCCGATATTCTTCAATCATTCTCACATCTTAATCATCGATATGACAATCTCATCCAGTCATATATAAAATATCTTGATTTAACAAATGGTTGGAATGGAAATCAACAAGATTTACAATGGATTTCCAAAACAATTCAAAAACTTAAAATTAATCAATTGAATTTTTATATAAAAGATAATTATCAATTTCCACAACTTCAATCATTATATCTTGATAATATATTTGTATATGGAGATTGGATATCAAAAATGAATTTAAAAAGTCTTACTCTTTGGTCCAACGAGATTCCATCGTGTTATGCTGCTGACATAACAATTCCAGAAACAGTGGTTCGTTTTTCTACGAATCTTCCAATCGATCTCAATTTATTACATACAAATCTAATTGATTTGAATATAAAGATAACATCTGTAATAGATCTTATTAAAATTGTTCAAAAAATACCTCTCGTCCAGCGTTTATCGATTACTTTCTATCAAGATTATCGTATGGAAGATGATGATATTCATGATTATGAAGCAATGATTGACAAATTAGAACCATTGAATGAATTAAAATTTTTTTCTCTTTCAACAAGCTATGACAAATGGAGCAAGAATAATATAGGTTTACCATTTAATAAAATTGCATTTTTTATAGATAATTATTGCTCAAATAAGAATATTCTTAAAACAGTTAGTTTACAATTATATTTTATTAAATTTAACGAAGAATTATGGTCAACAATTGAACGATATAAAAATACTTATAATCATTTTAACTTCTATGGTATATTCATAATAGAAACCGAAATCATTGAAAAAGTACAAAAACTATCGAAGAATACAAATTTTGCTTATCATATCGAAACAACACAAATATGTAATACTATTTATATTCATATTTATTCATTACCATTTTATTTTGATAAATTCTATGGTTTTACATCATGCTCAGAACTTAATCCCAATGTTTCATTCTCAAGTGTTCGTCATCTTTACTTAACTGAAACATGTGGAACATATAAAATATCATTTGAATCATTAGCAAAACGTATGTCAAATCTTATTTCAATCAATTGTAATATTAATATTGAACATGATTACAATACTACTGAACAAATAATTATTGTTGATAAAGATATTTTCTATCATGTTCGTTCTCTTCATTTTACAATGCGTTGTAATCGTAAAACATGTCCTTGTCGAAAAGTTCTTTGTCATTTACTTAATCAAATGCCATATTTAGAATATTTAAATACTTCTGAATTTGAATTTCTTTCTGGAAACTATTCATTACCACCTATTAAAGAACTTATTCAAGGAGATTGCGACGTGCAATTAGTTAATCTATTAATAAAACGTTTGCCATATTTGACAACACTCTCGATCGGCTACGTACGTACAAATCCAGATCACATGTCGGAAATTGTTGGTCCTTTTTTCATTAATCTTCCATTATTTAAATCAATTTCCTTTCCGTATGGTGGTGGGTGGTGTGGTAATGATACAACACCTTATGGAAAATATATTCAAGAAGCATTAAAACTTATACAAAATATGAATAATTCTCTTTCAAATGTCCAACTCGATTGGAAGAATGGGAAAGCAATGTTTTATCGTCAATGAAAATAAAACAATAAAAAGGCATTTTTTTATAAGTTCAGTTTTCAGCTTATAATAAACAAGAATATTATTATAAAATAACGTACATTCAATATTGCAATATCTTTGTCAAGGATGAGTGTGAGTATTTTCTGTTACCAACGCTCTCACCCATACTCTCAAGATGATTCTATAAAATGAAAGTTTCATTTAATCTCAGTGATATTAGATAACATTTTGAATCGATACTAACGACAGACACGAAATACATGAATGTAGAAATAAAACAAACATAAATAAACGATACTTGGTAATATATCACTCGTATTCGATATACAAATATACGATAGGTCGAGAGTAAAACGATATAGATTACCATGAAATGCAGAAAGAGGGTGTGGGTGTAGGTGTGTGCATATTATCATCTTCTTATATTCGCA